CTCTTTGATGTCCTTCTCCAAGCACCAGAAATCGTCGAATTTTGTGAAATCTAATGCTTATGTAACCAGTTGCGCACGCACGGAGATGAGAATCTCACCCTTTCCTGTTAGCAAACTGGGCATTGTAGCCAGCGACTGGGCTTATTAGCCGGCGGATTTTGCTATGTAAACTTCCGTCCCACTTGGGATTAATACGCGGCTGGGCCTGTTAACCGTGGGCTTAATAACCGGCGACTACTGTATTTTAAAATGAAATTATATTAACTGCGAGTATAATAAGCCTCTGAATTTGTTCTATTAAATAATGCTCTTATAATACTTATTGTTAATGTGACTTCTGGCGTTGCATGGATTCGCTGAGGTTTTTATAGTTTGGTCGGTAGTTGATGAGGTTAAGCTTCATGCAAGCGTTAGACGCGATCTTATTATGGACTTGATGTATCTAATATGTGAGAATGACTGCTCACATGCATACGTAGATCCAAACAGGATCAATACAGCAAAACTCACACGCTGCAGTGTGTGGTGTGTGACCGGAATCGTGTTCCAAGTATTGATTATCAGCTGCTCTTAGGGTTGACGTTTTTTTAATTGTTGTCCGCATGTGCTTGCTTGCCAACTCCGCTTTATGTCGTGCGATCCTTTCCACATCTCCATTTAGTGCCATGAACTTATTCGGCCACATGTCTGAGTCCTTAAGGTCAGCCAATTCTACTTCAAAATTTCCAAAGGAGAGGCCAGGAATATAACGTAGGTCGGCTGTGTTCAGTGAACACTCGGTTGGATAGGTGATGAACTTAAAAACGCGAGTGTGCTCTCGAAATCCTCCAAAGAGTGCTTTGAACAATTGTAGGAGACTGGATGTGAAGCCAACTAGCTGGTGGAGATCAGGTTTTAAGTGCACTCACTTACTGTGCATGCATCTTTATATTGTCTCAGTTTTTCAAAATGTAGTAGACGATCTGTTTCAAGATCCATGATAAAGAGTTCTAGCTTGTTTTCAAAAGCAAACACGGATTGTTGAAGGGATAACACTGTATTTCTATTGCCTTGCAATTCAACGTTAAAATGGCTAGGATGTTCGGTCATATCCATGAGATAGTAAAACATGAGGAGCCACGCAGTTTTGGCTAGCTCACGATGCTCAATGCTCTTCATTTCAAGGAACGTCCGGATTTAGTTTAGGCAAGCTGCAAAACGGCTACGCACATCCCCTTTTGACAACCAACGTACCTTGCTGTGCAAAATCAGACCATGATAATTATTTCCAACTTCATCGAGCAGTGTTTTAAACTGTCGATAATTTGAGGCTCGGGCACCAATAAAGTTAATCACACGAACGACCAGCGACATCACTTCGCCAAGCTACCCGTCACATATCTGAGCACAAAGAGCCTCCTGATGTAGAATGCAATGGAAACGTAAGATGCGTCTTTTTTCATATTCACAGAGAAGCGCAACAAATCCTTTGTTTTACCCACCATACACGGAGCACCATCAGTACACACTGCGATAAGTTTATCCATAGGTAGTTTATTTTCTTGAGCGAAATCCGTGAAAGACTTGAATAAATCCTCACCTCTCGTGGACCCTTTTATTGGCAGAAACGTAAGACTCCCTTCGTGTAC